ATGTATATATATATACATATATATATACATATATATATATACATATATATATATATATATATTAGTTTATTTACTATATAAACTCTATATATAAATAGTGTACTGGCATTTTGTAGAAGCTATCTGATAAAGGGTTTTGGAGCAAAGCTCTGTTAAGCTGTCTACTGGTGTTTGTCTTCTGAAAAGGCTTATGAGGACTTCATTTCAAAATTTGAAAAAAGTAAATTTTTCGCTTTTCTCCAGGCTGCTGCTGCTTCCAATAAAACGGAGCCTTCTGCAGCCGCAGCAGCAGAAGGCCCCCAGGGCCTGCCCCAAACTCCAAAACCCTTTTGGAATTTCTTTGAATTAATTTCGAGACCTTGGGGGTCCTGGAGAGAGCTGCAAAAACAAAGAAAGATAAGCTTGAGTGGGGCCCCCACGTGCAGCCGACTGGAGTTGGCTGCAGCAAAAAAGGAGAGAAAAAAAAGCAATTTGGCTTTTTGGAGTTTTCTTTAAAGGCCCAAATTGCTCCATATGGGGCAGCTGGCACCCAAAAGAGAAGCCCCTAAGCTTTAGATCTTTTCCCAATTCTAATATCCAAAAAGGCCCTGAGCTTTAAATCTTTTCTAATTCAAATATCCAAAAAAATTGAGTCTTTCGTTCTTCCTGCCTCTCCACACGCTTCACGAAGGCGTGCTGCAGGCTGCAAGCCAGTGTCCACTTTGCTGCAGGTCTGTGGCCACAAACTTCCCCGTTTTCTGCCTGAGTCCAGCTGCTTCTAGCTAGCCTGCACAGGGAAACAAATAAGTCTTTAAATCCAAACAAAATGGAAAAAATTACTCTCTTAGTAGTGGCCCAGTAAAACGGCCTAGCGACCTCAGCTGCCTCTCGGCAGCCGCAGCACTTATGTCTCATTTGTCTCATGGATATTTCCAATTTGTAGACTTTCCGGTTTCTCGTCAGTTATGCAAAAATGCACCCAAAATCGCGACCGCGCAGCGTCGCTGCTGATGTTGCGGTTGCTGCTGCTGCTTCTGCTGCTGCTGCTGCTGCTCTTGCTTCATGTCTTTACCCGCGATCATCCCATGAAGGGCGCCTGCTGGCGGCTCTTTGGCTGCAGCCAGGTGCCTCCTTGCTCTACTGACCAGTATGGAAGGTCCTCTTTGGTTGATCTTTCCTGGCAGGAGATAAGACGAGCTGTGGGGGTCCTTCTCCCATTACTTTCCATGGTTTGCATGCAAATGCAGTCGCTTGGCTGCGGGGTCCTGCAGAGCACTGGGGCAGACAATCCTCTCAATCTTGTGAAGTCCTTTCAGTCTCTCTCCTGCGTCTGTGTTTGGCAATTTGGGCTTTTCACGACGCAGCAAGGCGGAGCTCTCTGCTGCTCAACTCCCCAATGCAAACTGCTGCAGCAGCACGGCGGCAGCTTGCTGCTGCCTGCCGTTTCCTAGAAATTGAAGTCAACTTGCTGAATTGCTAGAGAGCCGTAGAGCCTCTTGCTTGAAGCAACGATGCCTCTGTGCAAATCTAACAAATCCAAAACATTCGCCTCGCGAATTTGCCTTGTTCGCTTTTACTGCTTCGGCGTGGCGAGGAAGAAGGGGTGTTCTTTTTTTACGAAACAAAGGAAGTACTGCTCATCTTTTGCCCCGCGATGGCGTTTTTTTCTTTTCTGTCTCTCCCTCACATGTATCCTCACCGCATGATACACAAACTTTTGGCCATGGGCCAAGCCTTGGCTTCTTTGCTGCGCAAGCATCTAAGACGTTTACCCTCGCGGCAATCATCTATATTCTTTCAAGGAAGCAAAAGTCTTCTTCGTCTTTCAGAGACAAAGAAGAATGATTTTCATCCTGAAGCATGAGCCAAAAAGCCAGCGGGCTTGGCAGGCCCTTTAAAAGCAGGCATTCTGGTCAGTGGTGACAGACTTTGTCTTTTGAGGTTAAGCGTGTAGGTAGCGTATCATTTTACTAGGAACTAGTGAAGTGAATTTTAGCGCCTTTTCTAAGGAGCTTACAATCCCAATGGCATTGTTACTTAGTTCATTTCATGAACAGCCCATAACATCAAGCGCTGCGCGCGCTTGACGTTATGGGCTATTCATGAAGCGAATTAAGCAACAATGCCATTGGGATTGCAGCCCCAGAATAGTTTTCATTTTTCCATTCTGTCACAAGCTTTCTCCACCTCCAGCAACACACAGGCCACATCAACACTTAACATTTTATATTTAATATTTGCAAGTCCAATGTGGCTGTTGGGGGGGACAAACTGCTACCCAGTAGCCCAAGGGACGCGAATTTGCCGCGTGATGACTTTCTAATTCGAGTGCACACTGTAAGACAAGTCCATCAATAAGTAACTGAATGTGGTTTCTATGCTAAAGCATACCAAGAGGCCACCAGAGAAGGTGTGTAGACCTGCGCTGTCCCACTAGCTCAAGAAATTCAAGGTCTTTCCGCTACAGGAAAAGCAACTATGCCACAAGAAGAATAGCACTAGAATTCCACTTGGCGCCGTTAATGGGCCAGTCAACAGAAGCCCCTACCGGTCGAGACCCTGTGAGCTTCGACGCCCTCAAGTCTACAATGAGTCAAGGCTAGCAAACGAGTGGACCACGCCGTTAGCAAGCAGCGGCATAGACCCGGCTTTTATCTTTAGAAAAAGTGGGGAACTTTTGCTTATCGGGTGCGTGGCATTAGCTAGTTAAAGCAATCCGACAAAAGTCCTCAGCCATTAGCCAATATATTCATTGACTAGACTGTCAGCAGTTCAGTCTTCTACCAGTTCAACCTTCGGAGCTGCCTCTACAGTATTGTTAGTGAGCAAGAAGGAAAACTTAAATCCCTTTTCACTGGGCCATTAGGTCGTAAAGAATGAGTTGTAGTGCCTCTGGGTCTCACTAATGCCCGGGCGCTTTTTAAACACGTGGCGGCTACAGCCCTTGAAGAAATCAGTTAGCACTATGTAGATGAATGCTACACTTACTTTTGTTGCAATACGTTACCACCACTTTCGCCAATCATGTCAGAGTCTCCCAGACAAAAGCTCAAGCGTAAGTTGGGAAAGTGTTGGCGGCGTCAGATTTCCTGACTTTCAGTGCAGTTCACTCAATCACTGACAACCCCTATTGTATGATCTGCATATCCTGTAGCAGCGCGGCGAAATGCCATTTGGTCGGATCGTCTTTATGCCGATCCCGCAGACGCCAGGTAGGGGATTCGAGCCCCCTGCTAGTTCTAGTGGCGAAGTCTCAGGTGGCGGGTTCGATTCCCCCTCCCGGATATTTTCGATAGACGAGATAGGCAAGGCTCCTCGAGATAGACAGCGTAGCTGCGAGACGGGGCGTCGCGCCCAGTGCTTCCCCCCTGCGCCTGGGCCACGGCCGAGTCAGCTAATAATTTCTTTACAACAGCAAAATTCTTCACTTCATTTTCGCTAAGAAAAGAAGTCCCCATGACGCATTTGGCCCTGCGGGGCCGTGGGTGTGGGGCCGCTGCGCGCGGCGGAGGAATTCTGGGAACGAAGGAAAGGGGGGCAGTCCCCCCCTAGGTCAGGCGGAGCTTACTGCTGGCTTTTGCAGGGAGAAGAAGGGCGGTGCGTTTGGACTGAGAGGAGCAGCAACTGGCTAAGATCGGGGCCGTGTATAAGGACTTCGCCGAGGAACAGTGGGACACGCTGGGCTAACGAAGGGTGCAAGTAGGCGTTGATTTTGGCTTGGAACTGCTGGCGGGGCCTTCAGGACAAAGGACTTGGCCTTGTGGGCTCTCTTCTCGCTTCCTAGGGACTTTCAAAACTAAGGTCAAAGACGCCCAAGTAGACGAATGGGGGCAAAATAGCCAAACACGCCAACAGGCAGAAGTCCAATAGACCCTTAAAAGCAAGACGGTTCAAACCTATTTGGCTTCTGCTCTGTCTCCCCAAGGCCTTGGTGGCCCTGGTGCACCATTGTAGTGCTACGCACTACAGGGGGCTGGACTCCGAAGGGGAGCAGGCCTTATCGCCCAAGGACGAAGTCACTTTCTTGTTTCTTCTGCCACTCACAATGTCAATCTACACATTCTGAATTATACGGCCCTGAAGGGAATTTCTGGGCTACACGGGGGAGCGCTGGGGCGAGGCCCCACACGAGGCTCGCCAGCTCTGGGCTTTTCCAAATAACATTAAAAACTACCCACGAACAGGGCGCCCTTGGGACAAATCCTCTACATTCGACTCATACCTCATGAACCAGTGCGCGCCTGCGCACCACCACACTTCTTGCATGTCCCACCGGGAACTTGGCAAGTTCTTCCTTGCTGGGACAGAAGCTCGCGGGGTGTCCTCGAGTTTTCTTTCCGAGGGGTCCATTTGTTTGGATAGAGCTCTCGCTCTGGTGGCTCGACTGGGCGTTTCTCGTGGCTCTAGCATGGACTGTTGGGGAGTCTGCTGCTGCTGTGGCCACTTTTTCCCAAGAGGAGTTCTTCGCTGCTGCGTTCTTTGCGGCAACGAAGATCCTACCTGGCCCAGGACTTGGCCACTCTGGAGTCCTCGGTCGTGGCTCGAACTCAACACTGTCCCACGAGTAGGGGCCTATGATAACCTTCTGCCTTCGACGCAGCCAAGGTGGAAAAACACTTGGCGCCTCCCAGCAGCTCCGGAATGGTTTGAATGGGAGGTAGTGGAAAATCAGGGGCTATCGGAAGCGCATTTAAGGCCTGGTAATCGACAGCCTCTTCCGCTCCCCGGAGCCATCATCACGTTTGTCCACCATGATCGTAGGAGAGCAAATAGGCGAGTAGGTCGGTCCGATCCAACCATATTCCGATAATTTTGCTATCTCCTGTTTGTGGAAAGTGAGCTGATCTGGGGTCACACGGTAGATTGCAGATCTCGCTGGGAGTTTCCCAGGCACAAGGAGGATATGGTGATCATGAGGCGCTCGCCTCCACCCACGCCTAGGCCCGCACGTTTAACCGTTCCGTCTTCTCAGTGCTAGGGCGGGTAAGCGCCCTACTGCTCTTGTCCACCTGCTCGGGCCGGCCTCGTTCATACGTAGGACAGTCCCGAGCATAGCGCCCCACACCGCCGCACTTCTTGCGGATTTCCCCCAGACGTCTGGTAGGTTGCTAGGGCAGACACGTGCCGGATGTCCGCGACCCTGACACTCGAAACAGTTCGCGTGGGTTCCCCCTGGGCGATGTTCAATTTCCTGGCGGCCAAGAGGTCCATTAGCTTGGACGGCAGCCCGAATGGCTCGACTGGTCCTTTCTCGGAGTTCCAGCACACTCTGCTTGGGCTGGTAGAGCCGTGTTGCGGAGGCCGCCGCTTGTTCCTACGACTGATATTTCACCTGTCCGTTATTGGTGATTAGGAGATGGAGGTCTGTCGGTACCCCGGTGCAATAGTAGCCCGCGAGTTCGTCGGGAGCAAGACCCAACCCCCGCTCCGCTACAGCCGAACTGGTCGGTGTATTCCTTCGGGTTACCATTCCACCGTACTTTAGTCAACTCCGTTAACAATTGACTCTGCGACATTCTTCTGTCAAACCGCTCCAAAAGCCTGCGCTGTACTGTCGCCCAGTCGCTTAGGTCGATAGTTCTCTTAGATACATCCAATACGGTAAAGCCCCACAAGGTGGTCTATAAGTTCATTTCCCCACTCGCGCAGTTCCAACCCCATCTGGGTGTACCGGCGCTCGATGCGCAGCAAAAAGGCCTGCACAGTGCTGCCGTCTTCTGGTAGTATGGGAGTCGTTGCGCCGGAGTCCACGGCCCCCCCTATAACAGTTCTTATCACACTCATAGCGGACTGGAATTGGTCCCACGTGACGAAGGGACTGTCCCCTGGCATAACATTGGTCATAGGTATCACCTGTGGGGGCGCTTCCTTATGCGTATGCGGCCGCTCTCTCACGGTGGGCTTCGAAGCCGCGTGGCGATGATGGGCTGGTGTCCCGCTCGGCATTTTGTTGACTGACATTGTCAAGTCTCCTGCGGTGTGGGGTCGATAACGCGTCCGTTGCGGACATGCATCCCTTATCGAGCGAAGATATCTAGGTGTGCATCATTGAAACATAGTATTTCTACTCCCAACTCCGGAAAGAATAAAGATTTCATCCCAGAGCAGCCCCCAAATGTAGTGCACAGCACCTACACCTACTGCTGCGACTACGCTGCTACCTGCCCCCTCGAGTAGGGACCTACGATGACTGTCTACCTTCGGCGCATTTCCTTGAAACAATAATTCGAATATTACGAAATACATTTATTCATAGTTTTTCAAAATCTATTGTCTTCAAAATCCCCCCCACTGGGGTTCTCGCCTCCTAGGCCCTGTGGGGAGGGGGCCTGCACCGGTGCCGGCGCTATTGCCAGCCCCAATCTCCTGCTGTTTACAGGCACGTCTAGTGTATACACGCTAATTTGCCGACAAATGGGCTTGTTTCGATCCTAGTGAAAGGGCCCTGTCCTCGTTCCGTGTTATGACCTCTTGTAGGTCACCATCTAGCTATCTTCCATAGGTCACCAGCAAGCCCTATTGTAGTGCCTGTGCACTACGACCGGTGCTCTTAAGCCAACAGTAGTGCAGATTCAGTCACAGTGGCGAATATTTCTAGGCGCGAGTTATTAAAACATAGTATTTCTACTCCCAAGTCCGGAAAGAACAGAGATTTCATTCCCGGAGCAGCCCCCAAATGTAGTGCACAGAGCCTACTGCTGCGACTACGCTGCTATCTGCCCCTCGAGCAGGGCCTACAAACTACACCTAGCGTAGGCCCATTTCCTGGAAACTGTAGCTTAATTTCATTGAAATACAATAATTCTGAAGTTTCTCAAAATCTGTCTGTTCGATTCGCCCCACTCTGGGAGCTCGCCTCCTAGGCCCTATGGGGAAGAGGCCTGCACTGGTGCCCGCGCTATCGCCAGCCCCAGTCTCCACACATTTCCCACACATTTCACTTATGCGTATTAATTCATAGACAATCTGCCTTACTTTTATCCGAGTAGGGGGGTCCTGTCCTCCTCCAGTGTTGCGACCCCTTGTAGGTCGCTAGCTAGCTATCGTCTCTAGGTCACTAGCAAGACCCATTGTAGTGCCTGTGCACTACAGCAAGGCGTTGGGCCTCACGCCGTGCGGCTGAGACGGCCCCAGACGGCTGGCTCAGGCTGGCAGTTTTCGCGAGTGGAGCTGCTGCTGAAACGCACAAAGCGAGATGCCGCCAGTGGAGGCCTAAGACTGGATCTCCGGGGGTATGGAAATATCCCATTAGGCCCATCTGCATGCATTCAGCTTCTGGCGAAAAATACGGCCCTGTAGAACTGCTCGCGCCGCAGGTACGGGGTGTGACACTTACAAGAAGGTCGCTGGACCAACAAAGTCGCACAGCTGCTGGCTCTTCAAACGTGTATCAGCTCGAATACCATCAATGAGTTGCTAAATATTTAAGAGCTTGAGGTTCTGGAATAGTTGTACAACTCCACCATTGAGGAAAACTGAAGCTTCTCTGGACCACTTGTAGTGCTGAGACACTACAATGGGGCTGACTAGTGTCCTAGGGATGATAGCTAGCTAGCGACCTGCAAGTGGCCGCGACACTGGAGGGGGGCATGACC